ATCGACTTTAATCTTGTTCTCAAAGCAATTTTCATGAAATCGAGTTAAATAGATTTCGCGTGGCACGCTGTGCCAAGCATCCAGCAGCTTTTGCCGTAATAACTGAACATCGATGACTTCACTCATAAACGTTATGTGCAGTTTTAATGAAAGTACAGCAAACTATCGCGACAACTTTCAAACTGCCATAACCTATCGCAAAAAGGATATCGATATTGATGCGTAACAATAAGGTCGACTACTATTATCCGTTTACCGCGACAACATTGTCCCAAATTTCCAAGATCTTCGAGTAAAACTTGGAGCTTTCGACCGATGTCTGCAGGAATTCCGAAAGACACTTTTAATCTACGTAACGAATCAATCCCATTATGATAATTTCTTTATGCAGAACTTTATAGAGGAGAAAGTAATTCACTCAAAAATCTGCGTAAAAAGAAACTCTCGAACAAATCTTTCTGACGGGTTTCATTAAAGGAGGTGCGCGATTGAGGGTACTTACTTCTCCGACTTTTCATTAGCAAAACGTTTCAAGATTACACCATCGATAAGACGCGCCCTCTTCTTTCCCCTTTCGTTGTTTCATACTGTTCTACAGTCGTTTCCTCGCTGTTAGAACGGATGTCCTTGTACCTGAAGTAATCCTGTGCGAAATCTTGAGACGGTGTAACGTCGCGTTTGACCTTTTAAGCAACGCTTCGAGACTGAAATTGAACCCCGCCAGCGAGCCACGATTCAAGAAACTGGGTTGATCGACTTTTAGGAAGTTTGCAGAATAATTCGTGAACCTCGAAATTAAGAGCTTTTTTAACGCTGATTTATGTAAACGCGTATTATCGTTTCGCGTTCGCATGTTATCGTTTAATTTCCTCCTTCTACATACAATATGGAAAATGAAATTAACAAGATTCATAAATTTTACGGAATATGTTGGCGGAGAAACATTGATACGCTGCGATATACATTGTTTGGAGAGAAAATATTCGAACGCGTTTCATTCGTGCGGTAAAAATAGCGAAAGAAATTTGTACTTTGCAAAAGAACATTCGAATCCGATCGAAAAACATTTTATAATTTTTCAGCACACGCGAATCCGCTTCAGGTTTCAGCCTCAAGCTGGCTTCGGGAAACCCGGAACGGGCTTTCGGTTTAAGATGAAAGGAAAAATTGTGGCCGATACGTTGGAAGGATGCCAGGACTTTCAGGCTGACATCCTGTCGGTTGAGCGAGTTTCGCGTTTGTCCGGGTACGGTGGCTGCTAAACACGTTTTTGGGGAAATGCAAGTTATCCGAGCTTTCTTGGGGAACATGCTCGTGGTCACGAATGCACGAGACGCGCCTAATGGAAAACTGGGTCAAACTATTCTCGTCACAAAGCGTCCTTCGACAGGATCGGCTCTATAGGCAGGATAGTGTAACGGTAGGATTAACCGCAGAAATATTTCAATCTGTCTTATTTCGTGATTCTGCAGATGTGCAAGGGACAACATTTTCGTTGGCTTAATTTATTAAAATAATTTCGTTATCGATCCACCGCTAAAAGTTAAACATTTTTCTTAGATGTTCAATTTTACGATATTAAACCCTGCGAACGAAAAATTATATTGTTCTTACTTATCGACGCGAGAGTATAGTAAGGAAACATAATTGAAATCATTCGAGCAGAGGTGTTATAAGATAAAAATATCGAGAAACTGCTTCCTGCTACAGTTGGAGGACATCCACGCCGGTTGCTGTACACCGAACAATTTACACAGACAATATTCGGTAAGGCGGCTGGATAAAAAGTGGAAAAGGAAGGAAAGGGAAAAGAAAATACGAGCATCTGATGCGTCTCGGAAGCAAGGCGTTCCAAAGGGTCCAAGCTAACGAGCAACCTAGACCACCTTAGCCGAAGAAATTAAGCTCTTCTTGGCATTCGGTGAAACTAATTTCGCTTCCAAAGAGATTATTGTACTCCGTGCATCGACCCATTTCGACTCACCTCTCTCGTTCGAGGATGTTAAATTTCACAATTTTTTATTTCGTTAACTGCTGGTTCTTTTAACGTTTCTTTTTCCATTTTGTACAAGATTCTTGGTATCGTTTACAACGGTCTTTTAACCAGTTAACTGTGGCGATCTTTTTGCAAAGCGCGCACCAGTGTGTGTCACGATAATCAAGCGATGACGAGTTAGCTCTCAAGAATTTATGAAACCATCTCAAATCATTTACACTTTTTATTTGTTTATTTCGTGTTGACCTCTGAACATTTTAAACATATTACAATTTACGAATATAATTTAGTTTTCGCCAAAATTACAATTTAAATATCAAATTGTAACAAAATTTTACAAATTGTGGCCGATACGTTGGAAGGATGCCAGGACTTTCAGGCTGACATCCTGTCGGTTGAGCGAGTTTCGCGTTTGTCCGGGTACGGTGGCTGCTAAACACGTTTTTGGGGAAATGCAAGTTATCCGAGCTTTCTTGGGGAACATGCTCGTGGTCACGAATGCACGAGACGCGCCTAATGGAAAACTGGGTCAAACTATTCTCGTCACAAAGCGTCCTTCGACAGGATCGGCTCTATAGGCAGGATAGTGTAACGGTAGGATTAACCGCAGAAATATTTCAATCTGTCTTATTTCGTGATTCTGCAGATGTGCAAGGGACAACATTTTCGTTGGCTTAATTTATTAAAATAATTTCGTTATCGATCCACCGCTAAAAGTTAAACATTTTTCTTAGATGTTCAATTTTACGATATTAAACCCTGCGAACGAAAAATTATATTGTTCTTACTTATCGACGCGAGAGTATAGTAAGGAAACATAATTGAAATCATTCGAGCAGAGGTGTTATAAGATAAAAATATCGAGAAACTGCTTCCTGCTACAGTTGGAGGACATCCACGCCGGTTGCTGTACACCGAACAATTTACACAGACAATATTCGGTAAGGCGGCTGGATAAAAAGTGGAAAAGGAAGGAAAGGGAAAAGAAAATACGAGCATCTGATGCGTCTCGGAAGCAAGGCGTTCCAAAGGGTCCAAGCTAACGAGCAACCTAGACCACCTTAGCCGAAGAAATTAAGCTCTTCTTGGCATTCGGTGAAACTAATTTCGCTTCCAAAGAGATTATTGTACTCCGTGCATCGACCCATTTCGACTCACCTCTCTCGTTCGAGGATGTTAAATTTCACAATTTTTTATTTCGTTAACTGCTGGTTCTTTTAACGTTTCTTTTTCCATTTTGTACAAGATTCTTGGTATCGTTTACAACGGTCTTTTAACCAGTTAACTGTGGCGATCTTTTTGCAAAGCGCGCACCAGTGTGTGTCACGATAATCAAGCGATGACGAGTTAGCTCTCAAGAATTTATGAAACCATCTCAAATCATTTACACTTTTTATTTGTTTATTTCGTGTTGACCTCTGAACATTTTAAACATATTACAATTTACGAATATAATTTAGTTTTCGCCAAAATTATAATTTGAATATCAAATTGTAACAAAATTTTACGCATGACGGATATAGTCGTCATGACACAAAATTCTGCCACATCTCCTTGACGGATATAGTCGTCAAACACACTTAACTGGTTAATATGGTTGCGAGAGAATTAGGGAACAAAATTGATAAGATTTTGAATTATGTAAAAGCAAGGGATAACACAAAATTAGAGAGCAAAGTACTATGTGAATAATTTAGTTAGCTCGTTCCTTTTCTCTTTTCCTCTTCCTTCCCATGTATCCCCTTCTCTGCGATATAGGTATACGTTATTACTTGGCATACTACTGAACCGGAATTAACTAACTAAGCTTCTTGCAACTCTCAGCCAATAGGAATTAAGCTCTCTAGCAATATTCCCAAAGAGACTATTCAATAAAGAAGAAACTGTGAAAACTTTCTTTGCACCGAGAAAGGGGACAGAAATTTCCAGTTATCTCGATATTCACACCGACGTGGCGAGGGTTATTGCTTTTCTAAGCGCAGGGAGAGGAAAGAACAGTAAAATCAGCAGAAAGAGTGTCGCTCGAAAGAGGAGACAAAGGAAAAAGGGCAAATAACGTGATCCGAGTACCTACTGAAAGGTTAATGTCCGCATATTTATGTGTACCTTTACGTGTCCCATGCTAATACAAATTGCAACCTCGCGTAAATATTTACTTCTCTTCGGAAACGCGAACAGCAAATAAAACTAAAATAAAAGATCTGTATAAAAAAATATTTACGTACCCTCTTCTTGCTGTGCAATAGCAATTCGTACATAGTAACCGTAGCGTGACAAAAACCGATCGACAGTTCCTCGTTTAACGACACCTATCGAAACACTGTTTCACTGAATCATTTCACTGCGGACAACGATGTTTTATGTGCACGGTATTGTTGCTCGGACGCGTCAAATTTATTCCCTTATACAACAAAGTAAACTAAACGTTTTAATTTCGAGTTGCAATAGATTCGTAAGAAAGGATTAGTATACGTTTTCCATTGCGAAGGAGTTCAAATAAAAATGTAAATATGTTTGAAGTATACTTTCTTGAACAAGTGTGCGGCTTTTCACCGGAGCTTTATTTACCGCGATACAAAATCCTGATCAAAGAAGGAATGCCATTCCTCCGGACAAAAAAAAGAAACAAAAAAAAACGGAAGACCAAGAAGCGTAATTACAACGAGAGAAAACCGATGTAAAAGCTCTGGTATACGCCGTTGTTGCCTGCGGTCGTCCTCCCGACCTCGGTATTTCATCGAAAAAACGGGTTCAGGGAGAAGCGAAAGAAGAATTAGAAAGCCGTGATACGTCAAAGGCTTTGATTTTCTTTTCGCACGAAATGAAACACTAAAGGTGGAAAATATTTTTGAAGACATGAACTGTTCGACAATAAGCGTGAAACGCTATTTTACATTGAAATACGAAAATCTGATAACTCGATCGCAAACTCCGTACAATTTCCGCAACGTAATGTAGCTTTAATTAGCACCGTAATTACTCCTAGAAACTAATTCTGTTCCAGATCAAAAGCAAAATGTCGGTCGAGGTGAGAGCGGGTCGGCCAACAATGCCTACGATTCCGCAATCCAAGAGACCAACGATTCTAGTTTATCCTACAGGTGAGATCAAGTTAGACGAACTTTTGCCCAACCGTTTTCGATCGGTTTGGTGAGTTTAAACGCCGAAAGGAATAAAAGCGTCTCTTAACGATTTTTAGTTCTCCATTTTTTTGTTATGGCCGGTAATCTGCCAGTTACTTAGATATTTTTAAATTAAATCACGTAAAACATTTCATGCTTCGAATTTAATAATACACAAGTGGCTAATACGATAAAATTATGCTATGCATGCTTTTCTACGAAAAATTACGTCTTACTTCCCGATCGTTCTGCAACATCTATCACAGTTACTCAACTGCAAAATGTCTCCGTTTCATAAAGCGGCAAGTCACGTCTCTTATTATATATTCCAGTCGCTTTATCAAGCAGACATAACTCGCGGACCCGTTTTAGCGGAAACGATGAAACTTCGTTTCGAGCAGTATAGGTATATTTAGATGATTTTTCAGTAACTCCAGAGAGTATCATCATCCCAATAGTATCGTGTATTCTCGGATTCCCATTGCTGGCACTGATGGTTATCTGTTGCTTAAGAAGAAGAGCGAAACTCGCGAGGGAACGAGCCAGAAGAAGAAATTGTGATTTGGATCACGGCGCTTTGAGCTTGGTCCGTTTTAGTCCTGTTCACCGCTTAGGTGAGTTAGCAGTGTATAGCCATCTTCCACTTAACCCATTTTTTCAAATGTTTTGAAAGAAAACAGTACGATACAATGCTGGCAAAATAACCGTAATTCGAAAACTTGGACGCATATGACATATGTTTGTAAAATCTTTCAAACAAATTTTTCAAACTTTATTTCTGTGCTCTGTTGAAGTTTGTGTAGGGTGTTACAAGATACCTTGCATTGTATAACAAAGACGAATCGAGGTCACAAAACCTTTGTATTTTAGCACCTTCATCCTTTTAAACAACAACTACCGTTTTCGTGGTCGCCTTTCTATAGCTAAGCAACATTGAATGCATACATGCATACAAACACGTTTAGAATTTGAATGCGTACTAGTACATGTACACTTTTGTAAATGTAATATGTACGTACGAGTGCAAACACGCATAAATGTACTCTAGAATGTTATATACGTATATAAAGGGAGTGGAGAACGCATTAAACCAGATTGAATGTTGGCCTGAATATTCGAGTTCATGCACCGACGTCAGAATATTTCATGTACAAGTATCATATCCACCAGGTTAAGATTATTTTTGTAGATAGCTACACTTAATGCTCTTTCAAAAAGTTCAAGAGAAAGACGTACCGAAACTTTCTTTAGTTTGTTATTCATTCTAAGTATATTCAGTAGATGTAGAATTTCTGAAAAATATCAATTCTATAGGTATTAATAATCTTTAACAGATACTTGCATTGTTCGCATATACAGTGTATATCAAGAATCTAAATGTCGAGGAACTGAAAAGCCTTTTTTATTAAAGTAGACTCGTTTTATAACACCGCACCTTGTGCCGTCACCAACTTTATTATAATACCTATAGAAAGTCTACGAAAGATTTGTAGAATCGATAAATCAACTATACATATATAGAGAAAAGAACTCGTAATATTATTTGTAGCATCGAAGAGTATATTTTAAATTTATGTTTATAAAAGCTTTGAAACTGAAATACATATTCGTTATTTTATTATCCCGTCAAGTGCAGCATCCAAAGAGGATTTAGGTAAAGCTTCTCATCCACCTGATTGTTGCTTTTTTCTCCCTAGAAAAAGTTTCAAGTTTAAACGATAGCAATTCCTTACACTTAATGCATAACCGTTTCGTGCCGCTACTGCCGCTGCATATTTAAGGCTAACTTAAATTAAAGTTTTCTCGAAAGCTGAACATCTTGAGCTCTTAAGAAGCACGTAAAAGATTCGAAACAACGATAGAAGCGTTTCAATTTCTACCTTCAGCATTCGACAAATATTATTTTAACTTTGGCAGTGCAATCGTAACAATAAATGAAAAAGAAAATTCAACGCGCAGCTTTGCTATAGTTGAACGCAGCTCTTGATACAGAAGCATGAACAGATATTATTTAACATCGTACATAGCCGCATGCAGTTAATTTTGAGATATTTACTCTGCAAGGCTGTATAGAAGTACATTTATACGCAACCTGCATACAATAACAATGCGTATATCGATTTAGATTCAAGCAAATAGCTGAGATTATGTCATGTTTATTTTAGAATGCATTTAGCAGATATAATTTATCTTTACTAATGAATACAATACTCTTTCGCCAACCGAATTTTTCTAGAAACATTTCATTCCTGCTACTGTATTTTGTAATTTTGTTTTTGTTTCTTTTTTCATAGCTGGAATTGACCGACCAGCGAGAACAGTGTCGTTACGAAGCGACAGAGGATCCAAAGCTTTCCCATCGTTAGAACTAGACACCGTGGTCGAAGAACGTTCGGATCCTGAACAGAGCACCGCACTGGAGCTCAGTAGTCCAGATTAGCATCCAGCTTTGGTGCCGCCAAGGTTCGATATTTATTTTTATTTATACATCTATATAATAAATTATTACGTCTCGAGCAGAATATTTTTACAAAGCTTTTAGCAGTATAAAGGGCGATCCTGCGCGCGCTTTGAAAACAGTACTGGTGGCACCATCGTACGGAAAGCGAAGAAATGATCAATAAAATGATCAAGTGCTTCGTGAAATGCAATCTTTTTGATTATCGATTCTAACGTTTAGATGAATTATAATTCAATTATAAGAGTAACGTAGCCGGAGAGTACTCGCGTATAGGAAATCACTTACTTTTGGAGGAGAAACAATTTTGTATTCAATTCGTTTTGTAACTTGTTAACAGATGACGCCAGCTGTGGATTCGTTTGTCTTTAAAGGCGCAAGAACATAAAATCAAAAAGCATATACTTGTTACCATCACTTTTTAAAAATAGATATAAAAAGCTGTTTTACGGTAAACAATATTTTATCATACAGGTCTCCTCGGCCATCAAAAACGGCGGTACCATTACCTGAAGATCACAGCCCTTTGTGGACAGCGTTGACACACGCCAATACCGTATCATCTGCCCTTGGAGATACCTAGCAGGAGGTGGAAGAGGGCGATTACATCGAAGCTCTCGTCCTCAATTTACCGATCATTTATTAAGTGATTAAAAACATTTAAAAATTTACGATAAATCCTCGATACTCGAGGTTTATCACGTTCAATTTGAAGATCGTGTAGAATCACGAACTTCCATCGCAAGTGCCGTAAAAAAAGAATTACCATAAAATATATCGACATTGTACGAATAAATCAAAATTTGCAAACTAGCATTTAACAGAAGTGTATGTAACAGAAATTGATGTGGGTTAAACGTTACTCCGAACTGTGCGGTACCGTATTTGGTAGACATCCCGGCTTTTTACAATGAAAGACACCTAGTTAAGTAAAAAATGATACAGATATACAAGTGTAAATAAAGTTTAGTCAAGATAATGTACAAATAACAGTCAGTCTGTAAATAAATCATTGTAAGCACTAGGAAATTCACATTTTTATATATTATGAAATTGATATGCATATTTTCAATGTTGAAAATTGTCGATAAATATATGCCAGATGTAAATAATATCATTATTAATATTATGAAATGAAATATTTATATAACAGCAATTAGACTGTATCCAGATATATCAAATATAAATTTCTTCAAAACATATTTATTGTACATTGCATTACCTGCAATTTTATCCCTTTTTTACTGTTCTAAAAATCCCAATGACTATGTTGAAGCTTCTTCTGATTTCTTCAGTGTATGATAACATGAACATGATGGATACAAAAGTGATAATTAAAAAATTTACTCTAACACTTCATATATACATAATGCTTAAAATCCTGGCATCGCTCGTCCTTTTTTAGCTGCTTTTTTGAATTTGTTCAATTTTTTCTCTTTCTTCCTCTTCATAATATTTTCTTGGCGTTTTTCTTGTCTTTCCCGAATTCCTTTCTGTACATTTTCTAACCTTGATTCCCACTTCTTAGCACTCTGTTTTTTCTGTTGATCTTTCCTCTTTATTGTTCGTTTAAGTAAATCAGGATCATCTTTCACCTGTAAAAATGTGTTGATGTAAGAATTAAAAATTCATCGTTGTTATTAATTGTTTTGCTTACTTTTTCACCAGAAGCTTTTGCTAAAGCTGATTTCCATGCATCTTTTTCTTTAAGTTCTTGAGCTTTTTCTATTTCACCTGATTGTTCCATTTCCTTCAACTTCTCCTTTTTTTGTTTTAATTCGAGTAAAATCTTCTTTGTATCCTTTCTAGGTGGTTTTTTCTTTGTTCCAATTTCAGAAAAGTCAAACTTACTAAAAACCATTTTACCTTCTGAATTAAATATCGGCTTTGGTCTTGGAATTTTTGGTACTTCGCCATCTTCTTTCTTGATTTTTGACAAACTGCTTGCATTTTGTTCTATCTTTGCAGCTTTCTTTTGCATCACATGTTCCTCCCTTTTTGATATCTTTTTTATTCTATTTTTCAAATTTTTCTTCAAATGTTTTTCCTTGTAACCTAATCTTTTAACATTTCTTAATCCTTCGAGTCTAGCATGTAACTCTTCAAATGTTTGTGCTCTTTTGACTTTTCCATTTAAATTTGAGAAAATTTGGCCTAATGTGTAAAGAAACTTTAAAGCTAACGAAAAAGTAACTTATATTTCTGAATAAAAATATCAATACGTACGAACCTTTTGATGCGGTTTTACTGTTTTGTGTTATTATATTACTCTGTTCACCTGAAACTAATGATTTAATGATATTTTAACAATGTTTTACTTTTCAGTAAATATTATTCTCCTCTAATGAATGGTTATTCTTTTATACGCTTTTACCTAGTTCAGATACGGGCAAGGGCGTTATTGAAAATATCTGTGAAATAAATTCGTTTTCTTTCAACAAAAACTGTTTAACAAATTTCTTGTCAAATTGTTTTAACATTTTTAACTGCATATTTCTCTAAACTCGCGTACGTTATACTGCAATGTAAATACAATATCGTGTCAAAAACTAGCATATCACACTCACACGTTTCCGATCTTTAAAAATAAATATGTATACCAACATATAGGTTAGGAATTAGAATTGTAAACGCAATGCGCAAACTCGTGAGCAGAGGTACTTATTTATTATTTAACAAATCTTATACATTTTTCCTCGTAACCTTTTCTTTAATATCAATTTCATTTTTCTTAAAAAAACCTTTTACATCTTATACAAAAACGGATGGAACTGTACAAATAGTGTGAATTTTACAATTTTTATGGTACAATTGCATCGTAGTCTTCAAATACAGATAATACATAATTTTATTTTTATGGAATAATCGTTCGTGATAAAAAAATTCGTAATATCGAGAGTTTTTAAATAATGAAAAGAAATTAAAACATTAGTAAAAAATATGTACTTTAGAGTAAATGAAACTTAAAATAGCTGTTATAATAAAACAGTTATAATAAAGACACTTCTTGCATTAATTTCTGCGATGTTAAAACCATGAGATTCTTTCCACGCAACAGACATTTATCAAATTCTTCCACAGTGGCAGAGGCATCCTCTGATGTTTTGTAGTAAACATGACAATATCTAATTCCTGATTTTGGTATCGTCATCATCAAGGACACAGCTATTGGGTTATATTTTTCAAAAAGATGTAGTATATAATGTATACTCAAACTATGATGAATGTTGGCTACAATCACTTCCTGTGCCACAATAACCATAGGCGATGATACAGAAAACTTTTTCTTAGCAATTCTATGACTTTGTTCTGCAGAAATTAAAGCTGGAATTTCATCTATGTCACCTAATTGTTCAAGCTCTTTTGAATGGTCTGTACTAAATTCTTGAGAATGTGAAGATTTGTTTAATACACTTCTTCGTAAGTGTTTTAAATGAAGATGTTTTAAAGATGGTTTATTTATGGAACATATATCACCATCAATTGTCTTCACTGAACTGCTCAAACTAGCATCAGAGAAATCTTCATTGTCTTTTATACTTTCATTAAATGTAGTCGTGTTCTTTGTTGATTTCAACATATTAATATCAAGTTGAGAGTTATTTTGGTATTGATTCTTTGAATAATCTTTAGATTCATTTCTTCTGTAATTCTGTGATTTTGTTTTTGTATTACCTATTTTTGTTTTATGTTTATGTGCTAAAATCTTGATATATTGATGATCTTTAAAACCATTGATGCAACGTTTAACATCCTCAAGGTTTTCATACTTTATAAAACATAATCCTTGGCGTTGACCACGATTATCTATAGCCAAAACTTTACCATAAGCAGAAAACATTTCTGAGAGTGCCGTCTTACTAAATCCTTTATTATTAGGAAAATGTATAACGTACGATCCATCTTTTTTTAAATCGTAATACTTATCGAAATCCATGACTTCATCCATGACGTATTTTTTATGTAAAAATTGACAGTTTTAAAAAATTAAGACTTGTAATTATGTTTACACTTATTGGTTATATTTGCCGCAATATCATTAAAACAATGTTATATGAGTTATTTCGCAAATTTTAATACAAATACTGTCTTGATTCTCGATGTACATCGAAATTCAGTCATGAATGAATTTATTATAAAATATACAGCGAAAAAAACATCGTACACGCAACCTGTACTTGAACTTTTAATGGTATAAATCACATAATATATGGCACACAAAGAAAGGCTAGGTAATATTAAGCATGATACAGACTTGAAGTTAGCAAAAGTTACATGCAACGCGTGAAACATTAGCAGTTATTCATTACCAATAAAAATTATTTTCAAATATACGGTATAAGATATTTAAATTATTTATTACATTAATATTATATATAGCAATTGAATGCGAAGGAAAAATAATGTAACTGTAGATTAAAAAGGAAAGGTCTGACATCTGCTTAAATTTCTGATATTTTATTGTAACGATTTAATCATTTTAATTTTATTATTAGGCCGTTCGAATTTTAACATCGTTTAAAACTTTAAACAAAAATTTATATTTTCCCGCGTTCTAAAAATGGCTGACCGCGTAGCCATGTTTCCATAACAGACTTGCGCACTGTCGTACTGTAATTTACATTTCCCAGGTACGAAGTTCCCTCATTTTACCAGGCCAGCGTTCGGTAAAACAAAATTACAAACAGATATTTGATTTTACCGTATTTTTTTAATAAACCGTGTTTACTAGCAGCATAAACGTATACGATTAAATATCAGTGGTGATGAGAAAAAAAAGAAGTCGAAGGAATGGGCGGAGTTTGCGCCCGCTGAAATATAGAAAGTAAAAGACATCGGTTTGGTTTTACGACAGTTTTGATCCGAATCATTATGGTTAGTGCATCGAGGAATCGGTATCCAAATATTGTTACAAAGATTCGCTGAGATTTTGGGAGGTTCACTTTACAGGTTAAGCGAACGCGATTAGGAAAAGCGGCGAAATCGCATCGTAAATAAAGTGGATGCGCACGCGGACAATAACACGGGAGAGCGAGCGAGAGAAGCTGATTGGTCGGAAGAAGAAGGGAATGAATCGAACTTTCTGATTGGTCGAGGCGG